AGTTCCCTTTACCGATATTTAAATAAAGTGAATAAACAATGATAAAGGTACCTTTAACTATCATTAATATGGCTAATTAAAGGTAGTTTAAGTTCCCTTTACCAATGTTTAATAAAATGATTAAAGGATGATAAAGATAACTTTACATATGTTTAATTACACTTTACTCACGTAATGCAAGGTACCATTACATACATTTAGTATACCATTAAATGAAATTAGTAAAGCCTCCACTACTAACCTTTAATTGATATGTTTTAAAGCTAAATATACATGGCTTTAAAATCTTTAATCATTTTGAATAAAGGTATGTAAAGGTTCCGTTACCACACCTTTAATATGCCTTTACTCAATATTTAAATATTTATTTTTGCCCTGTGTCAAAACTTATTATTTCATTTATTAAACCACATCAACCTGTTTCCACGGCAACTATAGCTAGGTGGATTAAAATAGTGTTAAGTCTATCAGGAATAGATACAACAAATTTCAAARCTCATAGTGTGAGAGGAGCTGTTGCCACTAATGCTTATGTAACAGGCATGCCTGTTTCCCAAATTTTGAAGACGGCCTATTGGTCTAATGAACGCACATTTCSTAAACATTATTTAAGAGTAAAAGAAATGTAGCCATCTAAGTTACGAATTCGATTCCTTGAAATAAATTGATGGTAACTTTATTGGTATGTTATCATTTTGTACATTGTCCGCATTACTTTGAAATCGCATRATTATCCCATAATTATCCCATATTGCGGAGCATATCGTAAGAGAAATGAAAAATTAGACGAGAGGTACTTACCTTGAAGTGTAATTATAGTTCTCTGTAGATATGTGGAGCATTATGGGATAATGCTTCCCACCCATTACTCTAGTTTTCCCTCCCATCCTTCATGGAGACCTCGGCCAATGCTGCACTCCAGAAGAACTGGTCAACAGAGCATATGCTCGGTGTTATGTACTACTAATTTGCATTTCAATACTACTTTTTAAACGTGACCGCTGACAAGTAGGTAGGAAGAAAGTATGCATAATTATTCCATAATGCTCCACATATCTACAGAGAACTATAATTACACTTTCAAGGTAAGTACCTCTCATCTAATTTTCATTTCTGCGAGTAAAGCAAAACGAGATTGGAAATTCTCGGTCCGAAAGGCAACTGTAAATCGGTTAAAGCCAGATCCTCAGGACCGTTATCTCTAGATACCAGTTTGTTAATCAAGATAAAGAGTATCTTAAACGAAAAATCAAAAAAGCTACATTTTTGCGCAATGGACGTAGATGAAGATGTTCCATCGCCAACCGAGACTGGTTACATACGAGAGTAGCGCATGCTCCTGAAAATGGCGGCCACGAGTATTTTGACTCTGCAAGTTTTTCTTTATATAAGTCGTCTTTTTGTATGCTATGATCATATAAGTCATGCAGGTGACCTTTTATGTCCTGGGACATCTAGTCTTCATAAAACTAGCGACCATCTACTTCCATGGTACAATATTTCAGCCTTTCACAAAAGACTTGGATATCGTCAATCTAGGCGTGCAGTTATAACATGGTCCAAGCATGGTCAAACTACGTTACTGATTCCTGGCCACGATCCTCCCTTTGATATCACAATATTCATGGATATATCTCTGAATCCTGGCCCGGTAGAGAAGAATAATGATGTTACGAACGAGCTGCATCCTAATGTTGAAATAAACGTTTCACAATCGGCTAGATATGCTAATATGGGTAAAGGCAGTGCTGCAAAGTTTATTGATAATTCCTTCATGAGTAGCCAAAACTACTGTTGGTTTGGAAATACGACGCCATTCTACGACTCTTCGTTATTGGATAACTCTAATTGTGATGATGTTGGAGGCTTTAACGTTCGCTATAATAAGATTCGGTTAGTAATTTCAAATCGTTCGAATTATTCAAGACCTTTTGTAAGACCAGCCACCCATACCCTTGTTGATATTCCTATTGTTAATGAACACTGTTAAGGCGTTAAGAGGCATCTAAGACTATGTTATCTGAATGCAAGATCCATCAAGAATAAAACTGCCGACTTCGTCTGTTATGCTTCTTCAACTGGCGCTGATGTTTTCGTTTTTACTGAGACTTGGATAACTGAGAAAGAYATGGCTCATCGAGCTGAAATTACCTTTCCTGGATACAAGCTACTCGATCATCCACGAATTGGTCGTACTGGCGGTGGAACTGCTATTTTATTTAGTGAGAACGTGTATGTGAGGAAGATCGATGGTGGGGAGCGCAGGTCCTTTGAATTTTCTGAATGGATTCTTCAATATGGTTCAAGTAAACTGAGAGTTATAGTGGTTTACCGCCCTCCTTACTCCGTTGCCCATCCAATTTCTGTTGGTGTGTTTTTTGATGAGTTTTCAAACTATCTAGAATCTTTAGTCATGTCTCCTGAGCCTTTGTTGATCACCGGCGATTTCAACATTCATGTTGATGTCGCCACAGATACCAATGCTATTCGTTTATTGGAGCTCCTCACGTCCATGGGCCTCGAATAACATATTGACAAGCCTACACATACATCTGGTCATATCCTTGATTTAGTTATTACGCGGTGTTCTGACTCTCTGCTCCCGGCTAAACCGATTATAGATTACCTGTTCTCTGATCATATAACTGTTTTGTRCGACCTTACTATGGGAAAACCTCCTCCCAAAATGAAAGAGCTTTCTTTCAGAAAGATCAAGGCAATTGACAAAGATAAGTTGCGGGATGAACTTTTATCCTCGAAACTCTCCCAAGACAGTCCAGATTCGCTTGATGAACTTGTGGAATGTTACAATACAACCTTAGTACAAGACTTGGACCGGCATGCGCCGATACAAACAAAGATTATACGATCTAGACCTCTTGTTCCATGGTTCAATGCGGATATTAAAGCAGCTAGGCATGAGAAAAGGAGTTGTGAGAGAAGGTGGCGACGTACTGGCAATCATCAAGATATGTTGAAATATAAAGGTATAAAGAATAATACGAATAAATTAATGAACGATGCATGCTGTGAGTTCTATCAGAATTTCATCGAGGAAAATAGCACAGATCAACGAAATCTTTTTATAGCATCAAAGAACTTACTTAATCGTCAAAGTGATATTGCTGCAGTTTTCCCTCCTTTTGATGACAAGCTTAGATTTGCAAATCAAATGGGGACATTTTTTGTTGAGAAAATTCACAATATTCATTCCAAGTTGGATGTTATGACGAATGGCTTATCTAACGTCTCTGCCGACTCTGATTCAGAAATGACTGCACATCTAGATGGTTTTACTCCACTTACAGAGATGAAAGTTCAGAAACTTGTCGACGGTTGTAAGAAGAAAAGCTGTAAACTTGATCCTATGCCYACTGCTTTAGTGCTTGACTTTTCTGATGTGCTGTTACCTGTTATCACCAAAATGATTAATTTGTCATTGGCGACAGGGACGTTCGCAGATGCCTGGAAGTGTGCTTTGGTCAATCCATTACTGAAGCAGCCGGGTTTAGATCTACTTTTCAAGAACTATAGACCCGTAAGCAACTTACAGTATATTTCTAAACTGACAGAGAAAGTTGTTTTCAATCAGATACATGCGCACATGATGGCAAATTCTATTTATCCTGAGTTACAGTCATCCTATTGACAGTTTCACAGTACAGAGACAGCGCTTCTTAAAGTTATGAATGACATCTTATTGAAGATGAATTCACAAGAAGTTAGTTTGTTGGTTATGCTGGATTTAAATGCTGCTTTCGATACTGTGAATCATGAGATTTCGATTAATCGTCTCTATGAAGAAGTTGGCATCCGTGACAAAGCCTTGGACTGGTTCAGGTCGCATTTGCACAACAGAGGTCAGCGGGTTTCTATAGATGGAACACTCTCGAAACTCTTCGATTTGAATTGTGGCGTCCCACAAGGGTCATGTTTAGGGCCTCTTCTCTTCATCATATACGCGTCTARGTTATTCAAAGTCATCAAAGATCAATTACCGGATGCACACTGTTATGCAGATGATACACAGCTTTATCTCAGCTTCAAGCCAAACAGTACCGCATCTCAAKAAGAAGCTGTACGTGCGATGGAGAGTTGCATTGATAAGATCAGATGCTGGATGATTCACGACAAACTTTTAATTAACGATGAAAAGACTGAGTTCATTTTAATTGGAACCAGGCAACAATTAGGAAAATTGCAATCAGTGAATATCGCAGTAGGCAAAGATATAATTAATCCTAGTCCCGATGTTAAGAATCTTGGCTGTTGGCTAGATTCTACCTTAAGTATGTCTACCCATATTACGAATGTATGTAAGGCTTCTTWTTGCCATCTACATAACATAAGACGAATTAAGAAGTATTTATCTAGATATTGTTTATTGATTCTGGTTCACGCCTTTATTACAAGCAGGCTGGACTACTGCAATAGTCTTTTATATGGCCTTCCTAAAGAGCAAATTGCCAAATTGCAACGCGTCCAAAATGCTGCAGCTAGATTAGTCATGGATATTGGGAAGTACTCACATATAACGCCTGTGCTATATGATTTACATTGGCYTCCAATTCAAGCGCRTATACATTTTAAGGTTTTATTGTTAGTTTTTAAAACTATTTATGGCCTAGCGCCTTCATATATTTCAAATCTCGTAGTTATTAAGTCTAAGTCTTCTTACAGCCTTAGATCTAATGAAGGTATCTTATTAGAACCTCCCAAAGGAAAGATGTTAGTCACCCTGGGAGCTCGATCCTTTCGCGCAGCGGYACCGCAGTTGTGGAATAGTCTACCTATTAGTATCCGCTCTATCACATCTATCACTATGTTTAAGAAAAACATTAAGACGTATCTTTTTTCAGAAGCTTTTGGCAATCTTAATTAATATTTTATTGACATTTTTTTATTAGAATCAAAATGATATCCTTATTTTAGTTTATATATTTATAAATGCATAATGACTTAKGACAAGCTTATTTATTCAATTATTTTATTATTCATATGTATGAGTTGTGTAAAGCGCTATTGATCTTTTATTGTAAATAGGGCTATATAAGTAATAAATTATTATTATTATTATTATTAAAGCATTCCAAGTCTTTAGACACATAGGACTTTCTTGCATTACTCACTACTTTCTTCCACCATCAACGAGTCAGTAAAATATCAACACTTGCAATTTCATCAAGCAAAAGAAAGGAGTAATACAGTGGTATTTTTCATATTGCTATAATTTCAGAAGATTTTACCAATTTTGAGTCATGTAATTATATTTTCTTTCATTTATTACCTATCTTAGAGCATTCTATTTCCCTCTTTCTATATCCACTGGAAGAAGTATCAGCAAACCCTGTTTGAAAAACTCAAGGCTCTTCGGAGAGGTGTTGTAATGGCAGGTGACGGAAGGCATGATAGTATGGGGCACAGTGCTAAATACTGTGCCTACACACTACTTTGTTGTACATTGCCTTTCATTGTACATTTCACATTGGTGCAGGTACAAATATAATAGTTTGATAAAATATTTGATAACATTTGGTTTGGTAATTATTATATACCTGTATATTCCTAATGTGTTGACCCATTTTTCATTTTGTTTAAGAGAAATAAAGCTGGAAGTAGTACCGCTATGGAGTACATTTCTAAGAATGAAAAATGAAGTCGTAAAATAAGCATAATCCTATGATCCTATTTGTGAATAGTTTTGAGAAAGAATGTTGTTGCACAGAACAGTCTTTATACAGTTTCGGCACATCTCTAGGATTGCACAAAACAATTTGTAAGTTTTAGTTTGTGTCTATCACAGTGATCAGGGTTATTTCTTAGTCAATACACACTGGTGTTGAGTATTAAATTTATTAATAAAAAAAATCGATGGAAATGTATAACAATTATACAAAAATTATTTCTGTATTTGGATTGTGTAGAAGATGTATACCAGACAATGGTCAGTAACATAAAAAGTGACAAGCTAAAAGATACAATTCAAGAACTTACAGTCAAACAAGCTCACGCGTTGACCCCTAGAGTCGATTAATGATTTGAATTTTCGAATTTTGATTTTATTATTCAGTTGAAATTTACAACGTCGAAAACGAAGATATGAAAATTCCAATCAACTTTAGATTCAATATACGACATTTTGATTGGTTAATCAGTGCTAACACAGCCGGAAGACCAAGAAAACATGGTGGCCAGAAATAGTCTTGGCCGTGTTTATGTGCTGGGAAAGCCTTTACCTGATATTATTCGACAGGAAATTGTTCATCTCAGTAATAGCGGATTGTCCAATAAAGCAATTGAATGGGAGAAGGATTGAATCTGAAAATATGACATACTAGTACCTCACCATAATAAAGGAGTGTTGCAACATACTCAAAATCTTCATTGTATTGAGAAATAAACCCAAGGGACTTATATTATTTGGTCATTTACCAAGTCCTTTAATGCATGGTATATATGTTTTCCCATGAAAATTTGTTTTAACGCATAGGTGCAGAGTACATAAAATCAAGTTTTGGACAGGTAGATTCCGTAAAGGTGTCTTTCAAGAGAGCTTTATTACTCAACGGTTTGTCTATTGTAAATGGCTTGTCTAGATAACTTTAGAAAAATCATTAGACAAACGATAAATTTCCTCCTAACGTTTCCCATCCTAACTACATATAGCCTATGGGGATGTTCTGCAGAATAGGGTACAAACTAGGAGTTACACATTTGTTAGTGAAGTGCTTGGAGCAGACGCATTTCTAAATCGATGTTGAATTGTGCACCTCCTCCTGAAAAAAAATCTTAGATTTGCCTTGTCTTCAAACATTATCAATTGTGTTGTATTTAAATTCCATTGTTTTTAGAGACAACTTCGACTGTATGCCGTACAAGRCCTGACATACAGCTTACCGGGCCCTCTGAAGATATAGTTTTAACAGTTGTAGAGCTGTGAAAAATCATAACTGCTGCAGCAACAACAAATGAAAGGAATGGTAAGGAATTTACTTGTAAAGGTTATTTTTCRGATTGTGAGCTATTATCATTAACACCATCATCATTACTTAAACTACAGAGTACACCAGTCCTGAATGGGGCATATCAACAAAAAGACCCGTTTGGTGGCTGGAGGATATACCATGCATTTCTCCCCACAAAACAAGTATGTTTGCAATAAAGTGTATTTTGCATCACAGTGATAGGCTCTTCCATAAGAAAGACTGAAGAAGATTGTCAATACCTTCATTTTAGAAAATGGACTCTAAAAAAATTCATYTTTCTTCCATTTATGGCTCCCTCTATGAATACATGGATCAACAGTCATCAACAGACGACCAACAGATGCAAGGTGGACAGACAACCAGCGTAACACATGGTGGACAGACAATAGGTGTAACACAAGGTGGACAGACAACCAGTGTTACACAGGGTGGACAGACAACCGGTGTAACACAAGGTGGACAGACAACAGGTATGAGACAGGGTTTGGCATAGCACCCAATATATGGACATCGGTATGATGTAAATTAGTTTCTAGGCAAGCCACGGCTCGAAGCGAGCACGACGATGTGTACAACATAATTCCAGAATAAAATACATCTAAACGAACCCAAGAGACTTCRACAGGGTTGACAGACAACAGGTGCGATGCAAGATGAAGAGATGGTTGACGTGACACAGGATATAGAGATAATGGAAAATGGAGTAATTGCAGAAAGGCTGGTAGAAGAAACATATGAACGTCTCAAATCTATCATTACAACAGAAATGCGTGTACAGTATTTAATTATTGGTTGTTGACATTTAATTATTTTAATATGATCATTCAGAAACGGCAGGCAAAATTTGTGATGCTTGTCAAATTTGTGCAATGTGCAACTTACAGGATCTATCTAAAGATTCACAAAAACTGTTTCTAATGGAATTGGAGCAAATGGTTGATAGCACAAGTTGGGAATGTGTCAAAAAAATCTGCTATCAAATACACCCATCTCTTCCAATTTACCAGCCCCCAGAAACTATTTTTGATGTGGAAGTGAAGGATATTGATTTGAGGTGAGTTTTCAGTGAAGCAATAATAATGTTGAAAATTATGCTATTAATACAAGTTTAAAACTTATGCAGTAAACCCCTTTTATATTTTCAAAGTCAATAAATGTCGTCCTATATATGATCAGAGACCTTTAATACTAATTATTAGTCTTCTTTGCAGAGGTTCCAGAAAATTACAGGCCCTTGTAATTATAAGCTTCCCTWCTGAACAATAATATTATCATTGTTCAGAAGGGAAGCTTATAATTACAAGGGCTTGTAATTTTCTGCATGCAAATACAAATTGTTTATGCACCAAAATATATATGTATATACATACAATATATATTCACACACAGAATTTTATCACTGACAGAAATTAACTGAGGCTGACCACGAGCAAAAATTCTGTCAAGATGGAAAKTGCTTGTTTAATGCCATTTCTATAGCCCTAACTGGAGATGCAAATGAAAGCATGCTGCTACGGGGCATTGCATTCCTTCATGCTGCTGCAAAGTCTAAAGAAATTGCAGCTTGGGTTGGATGAAACAATTTTAGAATATTCCATGAGTTAATTGACTACTTAACAATTATTCGCAGAAGGAAAAAGTGATTAGCGGAGAGGTAAATACTCGCCAATAATCACTGAGTCTGAGGCAAATAATTGTTTTAGTATAAATACAGAGGTAATTCTTTCAGAAAAAAAAAAAAAAAANAAAAAAAAAAAAAAAAGAAGTTAAAAGGCATTTTTTCCCGGTAACAGCAGCAAAGCGGCTGGCCGCCATTTTGGATTTTTGCTCGAGGTGATTATAGTGTGATAGTGTGAGTTTCTTGATCAATCAGTGCGAGTTTCTATAATCACCTGCGTATTTTTACTAAATACTGATACTTTTAATAATTATTAGTGTACTTATTACCATGCACCATATTTTCACCCCAACATTCTATCATATTCTTTGTTTGGAATCCTTTTTTTCCCTCACAGTGCAAAAAAATGACTGTCCTGAAGATGTAACAGCCTTCTGGAGGAAAGAACTCCCTAGAAGGGAAGTGTATTTTCATGTAAACAAAGATTTAAAGGTGTTTATTTTCCCCATTTGTACAAAAACAAAATTTTACAAAGAAGAAGAACTATAAGAAAAATAGGTGGAGGGTAATGCAAGTGAAGAGTTTCTAATTTCTAGGGGAATTTCATTCCAGTTTTTTGCTCATGCAAAATGCACACCAAACTGACCATAGTTTAGATTTGTATGAGTGAGAAAAGTGTCTTTTTTGTCAGTTCTTGATCTAGTATTATAATGGTGTTAAGAATTGACATCTCATATTCTTAAGTAAAAATTACGATATCTAAATGAACACAGTACTGGTATCTCTCATGAATCAAAAAAAATAGGTTGAAGAGTGTCATAAAACYGAAAGTTTCACTAGGAAGCTTAATATTGTAAGTTTTAACTAATAGTTTGTGTCGGGGCTGGGGCACAATCAGTGCACCCTGTTTTACTATTCCCTAGTTATGGTATAATTATTTTCATCATTATACATATTATATTAATAAGACAGTCCAGAAATAATGAATAACCGGTTAGGAGTTTTATCTCCTTTACATGACAATCTTCTTAGACTACATTSACGAATCCTTAGCCGGTAGAGCAGAACATTGGTTGTGCTGTTTTTGCTTAAAACGTCAGGGAAAAAAAACGTTTTGTAGCACTCTTTTTTTGCAATGTCTTTTCATAGATTTTTATGTATAGAATAACTTCAAAGTTGAAGCTTACTTAAGTCTTTGTACGCTTTACATGATACAGTCTAACTCACCACAGAATTAAACATGTGTGTTTAAAGTCCATCTTCGGTGTCACTGCCTATTGGCTTTCTTTTCTGGCCGAAAGCCGAAAAATTGTT